TTTCCGCCTCGGGCCTTTATTAATGGAACTGTATCCTACCAAAATGAGTCATGCACGCAGTGGCGTAGCCAGGGGGGGCGTGCGACAGCCCCCCCCCATGAAACCTTGTCGCCCCTCCAGTGCCCCCCCCCCCCCACTGAAATTTTGAGTTTCTAAAAAAAAAATCATTGATCTACATGACGCCCCCCCCCATGAAATGTTCCAGCCCCCCCAGCGCCCCCCCCCCCCCCCCCCCACTGAAAAATTCCTGGCTACGCCACTGCATGCACGGTACGCCTGATCTCCATGGTCATAATATACATAACATAATTTAGAAATGCAACATAAGGCCAAAAAAAAAATATTCGGTCTCTGGTCAGACCAAAGTTCCGGAATTGACGCGGGGACGCGGCTTTTTTTTTTTTTTTGCTTTCTTCAAGCTTGGATTGTACAGACAAGGTGGGGTACTATTTTGCTTTTTTGGTGTCCTCATGTACATTGGTGTCCTCCACAATTTGCCTTGGTGCTCTCGATCATTTGCCTTGGTGCAATTTCCCATTCCTTGGTGCTCTTTGGTAAAAACAATTGAGGAGGTGCGGCAATAGAGGGCGCTGTTGGAGCTACCGCAGAACATTTTGGGGAAAAAAAGATTGACGCGCATGATTAAAATCGACGCGCGCGCTGACCAGAGACCGATTTATTAATTTTTTTGGCCTAAGGTACGTTACTTATTTTAACTGAATTACGAATGAAAGAGTGACAATTATTTCACAAAATGCACTTAAACATTTTATGAAATGCAAGGAGATTGGGAAAAATCTTACCGTTGCATTTCAGCTTGCCACTATAACAAAACTAAACGACCGAAGAGTTTATACGAATGATAAATGATGACTAATGAATCACTGGTTTTTTTTTCAATTCATCGCCAATTTCCATATGAGACACATTTCCCCGAACGGCTACGACGAATTAAAATGCTACATTCGTGAATTACCACAAATGAAATGTATTGGTGCAAATTTGGAATTGATCAAGCAATGGAGCTCAACGATGTATTGGATGAAATCAAAGTATTGCTGATGTAAGAATTGAGAGTCCCTTATAAGGCCCCAATCACACATCCAAGACCACAGACCAAGACCCCGCTAAGACCTTGTGATTTAAAATAAAAATTTTGAAAATCGTACAAATACGTAGGAAATGTGGCACCAAATTCAAACAATTCTTCCGAGCTCCAGTCTGCAGACCATGTGAATGTGCTGCGATGTCGTCCCGAATACTACGACTCCGAAACGACCTCGAAACGAATATTACGACTTTGCTACGACTTCGCTGCGACTTTGATCCGTCCAATTGAATTTTGTTCACCACTGAGTCCCGATCTCCATACGACATAACCGTTACGACGATTTCACGTCATAATAATGGTCGTATCAAAGTCGGCAAAAAAGTTGGGCCGACCATGTACGACCACTGCCGATCTCGTATAGACTATTGCAACTTCGTTACGACTTCGTTACGACGCAACCGTTTGAGTACAGACAGAGAACAGACTCTGACCCGATTTGGATTTTTTTGCCGACCATCGCGATTATGTTTCAACTGTTGAAACCACTGCCAACCATGCACGATAGCGACCTGTAGGATGCCGAAACGACGCTCAGGAAGTCGTTCCGATGTCATTCCGAGTTTCACGATGTCGTCGAGTCTTGCGTCTAGTCTCAGCACTGTCTTATCGTGATCGGTAGGCTACATCGTGACAGTGTGACAGGCGCTTTAAATTACTCACAATTGAGTGTCCAAGCTGAAAAGGGTTTTGTAGTCAGCTCAGTGCAGTCCGATGCAAGCAGGTGGCAGACTGGCGTTGGCACATCCCGGTGAACAGCTAGGCTGGCTTACTCCAACCTGACGAAACGAGGCGTGAATTATAACACTTATCGAACCAATCATCATGTTTAGGCCAATTCATCTCAATCCCACGCGACACCCCTATGTTCACACACGCCCATGTTCTGACAACCCGCACATGTACTCCCGGTTGCGGTTAGGGCTAGGGATAGGTTGAGGAATGGGAAAATGTGCAGTCGGAACATGGGGGTGCACAGGGGTGTCGGATTATGCATGTACCCTTTTTAAAGCCACCTTCAATGATTGTTCAAATTTCTTCCAAATGATCCCATTTCAGGCTGAATAATAATTGTACAGGGTATTTACATCCAAACGTTCACTTTGAGCCCCCCCCCGTACCATTGGTTGGTCCGTTTCAGGCAGATTACCAAAGTTAGCTACATGCCTTACACGTCCGATTTCAGACGAATGCAACTTATTCAAAGCATGTGAGCGGCTAGGAATGTTGCCTTGTTTGATGCGTCAATGAAAGAAACAAATAATTATGGCCTGAACTTCACTTACACAGGAGCGATGACTCATAAAGATATGCGACGGTACGCGGGTTGAACGAATCAAATACACATGCGTCAGCATGACCACTTATTATTGACTTTCTCATTGAAATGTCATGCAAAGAACGTCACGGGGTCCTCAATTCATTCCGATGTCGAATCCGCCATACATGTTTTATATATGGCGCAGTGTGTAATTCGTTTATATAGCATTCTGATTCGTCCAAGTTTGGTGAAATTCATCTCATTTGGAAATTGCCGTTGGATTAAAAACAAAAGTCTGTCTTTTTGTCATAACTTTAAATGCGTCGGTCATTTCATTAGTGACAAGCTGGAACGTTGCGGTCAGATGTTATGTTTCAAATCTCTTCGATTTGTTTTTTAAATGACCGATTATATGTTGTGAAATAATGTTCACTCATGGTTAGTTAGGGCGATGAGCGGAGTGTTAATCTAAGTCATTAGGAAAATCCTATACACAAGACCATGGCCCTCTTAGTCCTATGCACGAACTAAATATGAATGACCGAAGCGTGAAAATGAGAAAAAAAAATAAACCGCAATTTACTTTTTCAACTCAACGCGATTCTCAACAAGCTTGGAGCCGAATTTCCCGAAACGTGGACGAATCAAAATGCTTATTCGTGATTTACACTGAACTCAATATGGAATGTGAATGATGCAAACCTATTCAACACAATCTGACTATAATTATGGAGGTCAGTGGAAATAATTAAACAAAATCAGCATGTCAGATTTTGGGTATTTAACCCTAAAAGGGCCGGGTTATTTTGACCATCTCTCTGCCGGGGGGGGGGGGGGGGATTCCGCCCCCTAAGATCGCGGCCATTAAGTGACGAAACATTTGGAAACTCGGTTCATGCATAGAACAACTCATCATGAACATACCCAAGAAATGTCATGACTATAGGTCAAAGTGTGTTGGAATGATGGCTAATTAATTATTCATATGTACGAATGGTAATTGTGCTCTGTGTTCACGACGTATATGGGGAAATTCAGATTTCACGGCGCGTAGCGCCGGAAGTTATTTTGCTGCGCGGCAACCCGTGGTCCGATTTTTATGTTTTTGGTATCAAACGATGCGCAAGGCTCGAGGCAACAGCTTGGGTCGCGAAACAAAAAAAATGTTTTTAAAGCTGTCGCAGAAAAAATTGAGGGGGGGGGGGTTCCGCCTCGGCCCTTTTAGGGTTAAGAAATGGGAAAGCCCTCAAATCGGGAAATTGCGACTAGGCCTCTTTATCGTGTTTTATGTTTATTACAGCTGGAAATTGGTTCCCGTCCCACAGGCCGCCCGCGCCTGCGCTACAGAAATGTCTGCAAGAGAGACCTGGGGCCAATTTCACGGCGCTGCTAAGCACAAACATTTGCTTAGCACAAAAAAAGTCTGGTTTATAAAAGCAGGTTACCAGCCAAAACTCCATGTGATTTTTATACTAAGCAAACAACAGCTGAATGCTGATCACGAGCAATATACATCACGTGGAGTTTTGGCTGGTTACCTGCTTTCATAAGCCAGACTTTTTTTGTGCTAAGCAAATTTTTGTGCTAAGCAGCGCCGTGAAATTGGGCCCTGGCTGCTGCAGTGAGATAGGTGTGCAGAGATAGGTGTGCAGGTCTGGGAGGACATTGCCGAGCACCGCTCCTGCTGGAAGCAGACCGTGCAGGAGGGCATCAGGTGTGCCGAGGTGTAGCGCATGGCGCATCTCACTGACAGAAGACAGCGCAGGAAGGGGAAAGCTGCAGCCGCTATCCCACCTCCGTCCATCTACACCTGCAAAGTCTGCAGGTGGGATTGCCACTCAAGGACATCAGCAACAGTAGACGCTGCTCAAGCACTTTGGACTGATCAGTTTATGACGTACAACATTGTCTTTCGCGACAGAAGGAGGCCGATGACGTTTATTACCTCCGCCAAGGAGCTTATGTTTTCACTGGCGTTGGTTTGTGTGTTGGTTGGTTGGTTGGTGTGTTTGTCTGTGAACAGGATAACACAAAAACTTCTGGACTGATTTTCATGAAATTTATTTTTAGGGAAGGTCCTTGGTACAAGTTCAAATCGATTAGATTTTGGAAGTGATCCGGATCTGCGTCTGGGTGCAAGATTTTTTTAAAGGATTTTTCACCCATCATATGGAAAACTTTCACCAGATCGCTCTGTGTGACCAGCTTCGTGTGCGTGGCACTGACCCGGTGACCCTGTATGCCTTATCACCCACCTAATCTAACCACACAGGTCAATGGACTGGACCATTTTATAGGGGAGTGGAAAGGTAGACCAACACAGGCATATACAAGCAGAGGGGTGGTCCTTGGTACAAGTATAAATCGATTCGATTTTGTTTAGCATTGGCGGAGGTGTCGCTCTCTGAGTGCTTTCTATAAAAGAGTGCTTCCGTGACAACCTGGGTCATGCACAAATCCTGTCACTAGTGTCAAAGTCTGGCTTGCACTTTTGCAACATCTCATCTTGTCTCAATTTGAAGTCACGTTACATTGCAACTATCTTCATTCCTCTATTTACGATTGGTCAACCGTTCTCAGTTAGTTCACAGTTTACTGTTTAAATACAAATTAATGACGGAATGAAACACATTCTTGTATAATCGGTTATTTAATTATCACAGGCTATAAGGTTAACAGCTACAAAACTGGAAAAATATTAAAATTGAACAAATGCGACAATTATACCAGACAGACTCCGGTGATAAAGGCTAAGACGTATCAAGACAAATGTAGGCCTGAACATAGAGCAAGGAATTATACATGGCATAGTAATTTTTCTAGAGTGCACTGCATCATTTTATCCAAGCATTGCCCCGTTCCATATAACGCTCAACATCAACCAAACTCATCGAAGATGTGGATAATTATCATCAGTTAATCCTATCTCAATCCACACGAATAGACACAGATTAAAACGAAAGCTTAAGCCTCTTGGGTAGAAAGGTTCGCCACGCTATGGGGCGCCTATACACTGACATTATACCCCCCCCCCCCAAAAAAAAAAAAATCCCAAGAAAAGTCACACGACTCAACGAATAAAATACAGCATTCCCAATCGCAGAGTTTCCAATGTTCCCACACCGCAGAGAAAGAAATGTACTTACAGTTATGATGTGCTGGTAAAGGCTATACTTCTTTTTATGTGGTAATAGCCAGCGGGATTTCGTAAATCTTTGTCTACTCGTTTGAATACATTTATTTTGTATTCGCTCAAGAATTAACGTCATTTTGTACTACGACAAATCCATTCAGCGATTGTTGATTTTGTGTTTGTTTGTTTGTTTATTTGTCTACAGACCCCGTCCACTGATAAATTCGACTGGACAAATTGTGTATTTGGTTGACCATTGTTAGCATCCACTGAACGAATACAATGCACAGATATCAGCAGTTAAAAAAAAACTAAGAAAGTCTAATATAGAAATGCTTAAACAAATTTCTACTAATCTTGACATGAACAAAAAATGGAAGTAGGTATGAATCCTAAGATCACAATGCCTTGCCAAAAGGTCAAGGTTGACAGATGTCTGGATTACATTACGCATGCGCACCGGCTCGGAGCCCAATTTCACGAAGTCATTAAATGGAAACATTACTACTTAGCATGGTTATGTATAAGCTAAGCATCATCAGCTAAGAACCATTTCCAAAGCAATGTACAACTCGCCATGCATTTTGCACTGCAATAGCCTTTAAAAAAATTTTTTATTCTTTTTGTGGTTTGCTTTGTAAACAATTCCTGAGGTAATTGAATGATTGTGCTTAGTGACTTTTTGATATTGGCTGTGGGTCTAAACTAGTACAAGACTACACCTACAACTTGAGTTAAATACTCGAGTTAACAAATGGTAAAACGTACGGTGCGCGCGAGAGGACACTAGACAGTTTAGAACACCAATGCGCAGAGCGGCGCCAGGATAAGCGCAATACTTAATTGAATCAGCCCAGCGTTGTTGCACTTCGCCCCCTCGCAGCACGTCTGAGTTATTGTTGTTCCTGCTGTTACTTCCATGGCGTCTACGTCCACACAAGGTCCTTCCACAGCCTTGTTTTGACACCCGCGAATGTACACAGTCATTTGTGGTGTAATGCCAGTATCAGCCATTTCCATTTTTGAGATCTGAAAATAAAAAAGTAAAATAAATATACAAATAAATAACACGTTCCCATTTGTTTTAATACGGGCGATTCACTATAGTGCGCCTCCAAGAGTTTGTAATGCGTTGGCCAATCACAATGCGCGAAATCAGTCGACCTTTTCCAAACGCGCCTTGGGTCGACTGATTTCGCAAATTGTGATTGGCCAACGCGTTGCAAACTCTTGGAGGCGCACTATTGTGAATCGCCCGTATTGACCACATTGGTTTTTGTTTGTTTGTTTGGGGTGGGCTGTTGGGGTGTTTGTTTATTTGTGTTTTTTGGGGGGTGCGGGCAAGGGCGGATCCAGAACACAATTTTTGGGGGGCCAAAAAAAAATGGATTCTAGATGCTCTGTGGTGTGTTCTGAGTCAATTTCTGACCACTTTAACCATTTTTTAAAAGGAAAAGATGGTGGTGTACTCATTGCCTGCCTTTATTACAAAGTCACTAAAAAAATATTTTGATTGTTTTGTAAAATTATATTATATATATATATATATATTTTTTTGGGGGGGGGGGCATGGCCCCATTTGCCCCCCCCCCTGGATCTGCCCTTGGGTGTGGGTGTTACAGAACAGTACCATCAAATAGATTTCATCGCTGTTTCCTCGGCCGATAGACATTTTTACCTGAGAATGATAATGTATGCAAATAAGGGCCGTGAGGTGGAAGCGAAAGCGGCCCATTGAACAGGGTCCAAACATTTGGGTCATTTTCTCTCAATGTGTCCAGGATTTGTCTATTTTTTTTCCTTGAGAGAAGTCTCTAAAATCGTCATAAGTAATACTGTCCGGCATAATTTTTTGGGGGAACACAAACTACAAAATTAAAACAATACTATTTTCGTCCCGTGCGCACGACGACAAGAGAAATTAGCAGGGCTCCTTTTCCGCACGAGTGAAACAACAAAAACATGTGTGATTCAGGGTATCATCCATCAAATTTGGGCCGATTCGCATCGTCACGCGGTACGCGGAGTTTTTTTCCTAGGAGGGTTGGGGCCAAGTCAAGCATATTTCAGTTTTTCCTTTGAATCATTGCAAGACACTTATTTAGAGAAGAAAAATAGTCCCTGAAAATGAGCAGCGACGACGAGGATTCGAACAAAGGATCTTTGTATCCATAGCTCATTACGCTGTGTGGTAGCTAGACAACGGTTCTTCAAAATGCTTTAATGTAACTGGTTGACTAAATAACAGCAATGCTCTTGATATCATTGTTCTGTTCTCATGAATGAACATACTGGGCCGATCGAAAGTACTGAATTATTCATGACTTGGCCCCAACCGTTCTGGAAATAAAAATTATGCACGCGGCACACTGTTCAGCCTGCGATTCGGCCCAAAATTTGATGGTACCTCGAATCACACAGGATTGTTTTCACTCGCGCGCAAAGGAGCCCTACTATTAATTTTCCTTGACATCGTTCGCCGGCATGGGACGAAAACATTTTTTAAAGTGTGTATTTTGTGAAAAAACAACAACAATTATGCTGGATAGTATATTACTTATGAAGATTTTAGAGACTTCTCTCAAGAAAAACAGCGAGAAATGGACAAATTGAGAGAAAATGACCCGAATGTTTGGACCCTGTACATTTTCAATGGACCCGCTTACGAAGCCACTTTCCATAAATGCGGGTTGTTACAGTTCATCTCAACAAAATAGTTTGATTCGTAGATCGTCTGAATAATGTATGTACTTACTTTGCATTTGTTTTCACATGGTACAGTCTCTATTCCCGTACTGTCGAAACCGGGCTCCATGCAACCTTTTTGTCCCACCATCATTTCGCCCATTATGGTGTAGGTGCAGTTGTAACACTGAGCATCAGCGCCACAACCGACTAGAAACGTAATTAACAAAACAAATATCTCAAATTAGTATAGAATCAAGGTTTCTGCGGCCGACTTCCCACTTGATCATTTACGTGAACAGGTTGATTATGATCGAAGTGTTATTCTTTTAATCTCACAGGTTCTATCTTTAGAACAAATGATGGTAAATCAGAAATACCCAATTCGTACGTGTATCTAAAAACTGAAGTGTTGAATTCAACACTTATATGATTTCGGTCAGTGACCACACTTTGAAAGTGTTAAATCTAGCATTTTAAATGTTAAAGCCAACGCTTACAATGTTAATTCAACATCTTAAATGTTGTTAAGTCTCAATGCAACACTTTCAAAGTGCTAAAGTTGAAAAATGTTTGAACCAACACTCGAGGTAAAATGTTGACTCAACATAGTAAGTGTTGGCTTTAACATTAAAAGAGATGGATTTAACACTTTCAAAGTGTGGTCACTGTCCGAACTCATGTATGTTGAATTCAACATGTGAGTGATATCAATTATCAGGCTCAGATCCGGGGGGGGGGGGGTAGGGGTAAACCCCCCCCCAGCTCTGTCAATTTTTTTTTTCCATACAAATTCTCAAAAAAAATAAGTCGCCCCCCCCCCCCCCCCCCCGCTGTTGTGACACCCCAAAAAAGGTATACTGGTAAAATGTTTGCTTGTTAAAATTACGGTACACCATTCTGTAATCTAGTGTTAATAATCATCGAATTTGAACAGCGCCCCCCTAGTGAAATATGGTACCAGCACCCCTCATTTGACCTCAAATGTCTCACAGTAATCTGAAGTCCCCTACCCAAAGATTATTGTTACCAAGTTTGGTTGAGAGTGAAGTCTGACTTTGCATATTACACCACTATAAACAGTTAACCTAACCGAAATGAAGAATAACCGCATTTGACCCCTAGATGATCTTTGACCTCAAATGTCTCACAGTAATCTTAAGTCCCCTACCCAAAAATTATTGCCACCAAGTTTGGTTAACGGATAGAAGTCTGACTTTTCATATTACCACAGTAAACAGTTAACCTAACCAAATTGGAACAAACACGTTTGTTTATGGTGGAAATCGATGATTTTCTTTTGTTCCTCTTCCCTCTTCCCTTGTTTATACTTCTTCGCAACAGCTCTCTTTGGTATTTATACACGTTTTCTAACCGAGGAGTGCTTGATTCGTTTTCTGTCCTCGATTCACCGATGATGCTCGTGTGTGTTCTCGATTTACACCATAAACACACAGACATTTAGGTCTACATTACATACCCTATAATAGTGAACATTCCTTTGTTTTCGCACAGTTAAGGAAAACCGGAGGAAAACAAATATTTTACTCACACTACAGTCACCCATACATCACTATCGCAATAATGTACATCACTATCGAATACATCACTATCGAATACATCACTATCGCAATGATGTACATCATCGAATACATCACTATCGAATATATCACTATCGCAATAATGTACATCACTATCGAATGCATCACTATCGAATACATCACTATCGCAATAATGTACATCACTATCGAATGCATCACTATCGAATATATCACTATCGAATACATCACTATCGCAATGATGTACATTATCGAAAACATCACTATCGCAATAATGTACATCATCGAATACATCACTATCGCAATAATGTACATCATCAAATACATCACTATCGAATACATCACTATCGCAATAATGTACATCACTATCGAATACATCACTATCGAATACATCACTATCGCAATAATGTACATCACTATCGAATACATCACTATCGCAATAAAGTACATCACTATCGAATGCATCACTATGGAATACATCACTTTCGAATACACCACTATCTTATACATCACTATTGCAATATCCCCGTGTCTGGCTTACAGCCAGGGAGGTAATTACACATGAACTTTATTTTAAAAAAAATCCCGAACAAAATTAAGTGAGTAAAACAAGCACAAACCGAATAACAATGGTAGTAAAAGGTATGGCTTTAAGCATTGAGTTCATCGTGCATAAAGTCCTTTTGCCATAGACATGTAAGCATACTCATTATAATATTCACAGCCCCCGGGGTATCATTTTACTACATGTATTCACACTGCACTGGCTAACACACTGAGCGCACAAAGGCATGAGAGTTCTTTTTTCGCTGCAGTTTGTGTATTGGTCATGTGGAAGAATCCTTCAGCTTCACTGGACAGCTGCAGTAAAAGAAATCATGAATGACGCACAGCCTAGTCACACGCACGGGGGGGGGGGGGGGGGGGGGTGTTTTCACATCGGCAAAGTGTCTCATCGCTAATAATTATAATCTTTTGTAACAACACTCACATCCATTTACTAATACGCTGGCGATGAGTTTCTCGGTAACATATTCAAGCAAAATACTTCAACCATCACGGAATTAAACAAAAAAGCGGAACCCAAACCCCATCAGTTATATTTCCTATTTAAAAAATTGTGTAGCACCAAAAATAATCATAGCTTAATTGCATGAGCTACTTTTTCAGATAAAAAAATACTGAAATTACTTAATCCGTTCAAAGAATATCTGGACATTTCCAGGCAAGCAGAAAAGTTGACAATGGAACTGGTCTAATCATAGCTCTAGGACAAGACAAGGGACGCCTAAAGCTGGGTTCTATAGATAGAGTCATTGCGTGCATTAGTTTGGGCCAAAGTGGACTGAAGCAAGTCTAATAGTCACAGTGTGTAGGTGGTGAATCAGTCAAATCATGAGAAAAATACAAATTAGAGTATTGGCAGGCCCTCTGGCCTCTGGGCGTACCAGCATGATAACAGTAATATAAACACAATGTATATGCACAGATTAAAAAAAAACGAAAAAGAAGAAAACCCTTATTTTATGATTTGATACATAATTGGCCATATATATATTATTCACAGATCGATTTGTTGTGTAAACTTAGTGAATGTGGCTGAAAACACAAGTCAGATAAACCATGCGGAAAAGGTCCACCTTTTCACACTCCGAGATCATGCCGTTTGGGAGACATATCACGTTGTTTTGTATATACCGTTCAATGTATTATTAATCCATGGATAATTTAAAACCCACATAATTAATATTTAAAAGTCCCTTTGCCATTTTTTTTTACACCTTATACGGTTTACCTCAATGTCAGTGACTTCCTAGACCTTACGAATACAGACTTATTTAAGGGGGATTATTCAAACTCTTAGTCACAGCAATTTTCTATAATTTACTGGCTGTAAAAGTGTACTGCTCTGGCTCCTCTGTGCACAAAACGAATGGAAGGGCCTCTCATCAATTACTGATGGTGCACTCACTGCACCTGTCACTGGTTGGGCCAGCCAGCCTCTGGGGTACAGATGGGGGTCATAGGGGATAGGGGCTGGAGTCAGGGATTATGTTTAACAGCTGGCTTGCTACCAATTCTGTGACATGTACTAGTGTTTGCAGATTTTATGAATGGATGTCTAGCAAAAACGTACACAAACATGACCTCAGACATTTCCTCGATAGCCAGATTATAACATGATTACACACGAAAGAACACATTCAAATCAACTGATTTATAGTTAATTGATTAATAAGCTGTGTCCAAAAAATACATGGTCGTAAGGATTAAGATAATGCACACTCACCTACAGGTTAAATTAAATTAACTATAGGCTCACTCTGAATGTTGAAATTTAGTTTGTAATCTCAGAAATGTACCGACGTCATTCTCTGAGCCTTAAAACGAACCTGTCAAAACGCCGTCAAAAATATCAGAACTCATTTATTTTGGTGCGAAGCAGATTTCCCCTTTTGGGGGCGGTCGCGCTGTGAGTTCAACGCTGTAAGTAGCAAACTATGTTCCCACACTGTTGGAAAGCTAATGAAATACCCTTTTCACTGATGGTACAAGTTTCTCAATTGGCCAATTCTTCAACCCGGCCTACATAGGCCTATATTGTGATCATGAGGGCCCTATACTTTGCGTACACGAGGATTAGAGTGAATAATGAGCGATAGATGGTTTTCTTGAAGTATAGTTGTGCAATTTGAGCTAAAACACATCTTCAAATAAACCACAAACGGACCACAATTTGAGCTATAATCAGTGCACACGTACACAGTACTTGTAAGCGGGTAAACCGCTCACAGAAGGAACCCTGATTTTCTTTTTTTCAAGCATAGCCTGTAGCCCGAAGCAAGATGTTTACCTCAAAGTCGAAGCGCACAGCTAGCTCAGCGGCGGGATTTTATCGGTCTAGGTTCACAATTTCCTTAAACATTATTATTTACACCATGTAGGTAGAATTGTCTTAAAATGAGGTATTGAAAAAGGTATTAAAATGAAAACAATTCTAGCGCTTGCGAACTCTCAATTTCTTTCTAAGCCTTTTATTTGTCAATTATCTGCTTGTAACTTAAGTTATAATTAAGCCTTGTTTAGAAGACATTCAAATTGTTTAATCATAGTTTAATTTCTGCAAAGACTGTAAAAGAAAAATGAAATTTGAAAGCGATCAAAATCAAAATTAGGCAACAACAGTTTTCTTGGACTGACGTGACTGTAGTGACTGGTAATAAGCTGTATACTTACAGAATGCCACAGTAGCAATCACGATAATAACGAGGTGATTCATCTTGTGCTGTGTTTGCTGCAGAAATCAAAGAAGACAAATATTTGTTTTAGCCTCTGAAGAAGAACTTGCTAAGTTCGCAGCGTCAGGCCACATTAATGTTTAAATTTAAGACAAATATTTGTCAGAGTCCAGGGATTTTGTGAAACACGATCACTCAATCGGATCTTCTCAACGGTTTAGTACGGAGACCTGATAAACGTAACAAAGACCACATTGTAGGCCTTCAATAATGTTTTTTTTTTCACAACAGAAACACTAAACGTTAACCACTTAAACAATTTAAACCGAGCTCGCGTGAAGACTAGGGAACTCGCTATCCTTCTTGCTTCAAGTGCTGAAACTAAAGCAGGAACTCCCCAAGACAATGGCGACAAAATTATGACCTTGTCCATAATACATCCACGCGCTACAGCGCTGTTTCTCATATACATGTACAACACTACATGTATACTTGATCACTTTTTATCATGCACCACAGTCAACTTCAGACAAAACAACAAACTCGCCAAAAATACCATCAATAACTTCAGAGTTTAGAAATATAAGCTCGTCCATATACTGACCTGTCCTGCTGTTCGGTCGACGGAGAGACGATTGAAGGCTGAAATCGCCAGAAAGGGCACAAATACTAAAATGTACTCGTAAGACGTTTGCGGCAAGAATGCTTGAGAGAGGCGAGGCCCGTAGAGAAAGAATACTCAGGGTAACGCTGACCACGGCTTGCGCTAGCGCTTGCAAAACAAACTGGGTGTGGAGCTTCGACGCATGCGCACAAGAACACGCAAGATGGCATAATTATCCTCGTGGTCATGATTATATTAATGGTGAAGGTTACTTGCACAAGATGCCAACATTTAAAGGGCAAGACGTCATACAACTTTAGCAAGCAATTATAACAAAAAATGATTGAATTTTTAGACATTTGTTATAATTAAAAATGTATTCATAAAAATGACACACGTATATTTCTATTTATATATATATTATTTTTTTACCCATAGTGACAATATTAATCATATGAGGCGTGTAGCTGTTCCCTTGACTAGATTTTTTTGTTATGACAGCCAACTTTTTCGTCAAAGTCAATGTCTGCCGCGGGAACCTTTCTTGAACAAACATCGTTCGTAACTTTTGTCTGATAGATTTAGATTCAACCAACTTATGACAAGAAGTCAAACAGAATGCAAACCAAAAACACGGGACGTTCGTGTGTTCCATTAATGTGATTCCGCTGAAGCAGTGGCGTCACCAGACTTTTCAGTCTGGGGGGGGGGGGGGCACCAGCATTTGATGGGGGGGGGCACTTAGGTGGATACGGATCGCCGTCCTGGGGGAGGGGTCTAAGGGGAGGGGGTGCCCCCCTCCCCTTTGGAAAATTTTCGCATACGGAGGATGGGCTAGATGCAAAATGGTGCCACATTTGATGCCAAATTCGATCTGAAGATATCTCAAGAAATTGCCATTTTTGAGGTAATGATTTTAACAACGCGCAGAATTTTGCAGAGGATAGGGGGGCACCAGCATTTGATGGGGGGCACTCGGAGGGGCACTAGGTTTTCCAGGGGGGGGGGGGGGCACGTGCCCCCCCCCCCCCTGGCCCCCCCCCTTTTCGACGCCACTGCGCTCAAGGTCGCACAAATAAATATGATTGCTCTTTACTCCATAATGAGGAGTAGCATTGGCGTCGTGGGGGGGGGGAGGGGGGCACTTGAGGAAAACGAGAAGAAAAAAAAAAGGAAAAAGGAAAAAAAAAAGAAAAAAGAAAAAGTGGTGCTTCCCTGCTCACGCTCGGAAAAATGATATTGAGAATATCATGAAAAAGGTATGGAATTGCGGGGGAAAATTTGCTTTGCTTCCCCGCTGAAAAAAAATCCTGGCGACGCCCATGCGAGGTGGGCAGACGTTAACCTACGTGCGTGGACCGCAGCTGCGTCGGGGCTGGGCGAGTCTGGGCTAGCCACCGCAGGCGAGATCAGCAAGGCATCTTGATCCATGGGAGAGCATAATGTATGGCGTGCCTTTGTTGCGGTCCGACTAGAGTCGACCTGATGACTTGTCATAATCTATAGTGAGTGAAACATCTGAGCCTCACTTAAAAGAGCATTTTGCAGATTGTGTCTGTTTGTGTACGTTTTATAATATTTTATAATGTACGTTTTAAAATATTGTTAATGTCATCATGAAGAAGGTATTTCTCGTCCATGGTAATAAATTAAGTCATGCATGCTATGCATACACGATACTTTTCAGGGAATCATCACGTTTCTTGTAAAACTTATATATATATACGGCCAAGATTTCATACAACAAAAACAATACAGAGAATATGACAATGAACCTTTACAGAAAAAAAATCAACAAAACAAAACAACAACTACAATGAAAACAACAACAACAACATATAAAATAAAAATCTGAAAAAAGAATAAAAACTGGAGAATTTTCAACTGGCAAGAGTAAGAGCAAACAAATATCAGTAACAGTTGAACCTAAGTTATAATCAAACAAAAACGGATTAACTGGCAACAGAAACTAAAAAACCAAACAGGCAATGGGACCCATAGACCTGCAAGCTGACAATAAAAATATGAAATCACAATAATTGCAATGGAGTTAGATTAATCTTCGTATATTTTCACGCCGGGGATTCACCCCATATTTACAAGGAATACATATTACGTACAGCTATCCTAGAAGAATATCCCAATTTGAATGTTATTCTTCAGGGAATATTCAATGCAACTCTTCACACACGTATGCAACCCCCGCTGAATGTAGGGCAATTATATGCATGCCCATTGAGCTACGGCAAGTGAACGCCAGTGGTCAGCACATGGTCAGCACTCGTTTATGCTAGAAAAATGACCTCAGATTGCGCATGACGACTGGCGCGTTTGGCGGGGTGCAGACCATCCCCTAGGCCGCGCACCGTAACAGATATATCACCCACTTCCAAAAAAATAAGGATATTATGTCAATTGAAACTTGTGTTTATCTTCTGTCACTTTCTGTTCAATTTTTGTTTAGACTTAAGCTTAACCAATGACTTTTGTTTGTTTTACCCTCCAAATGTGATCACCCCTAAAATCAGTATTGAGGCCCACAGCCAGTTGACAAAGTACATGATAAATGCCCCCACTTCAGAAATAAAAATAAGGACTCACAATTATCTCCAAGGTGTCCAAGATGTACATCAAATCATCTTTCATTTTCTTTTCAATTTTTTTTTGGGTAATCTGATGACTTTTAGGAGAAATTTTCCATCCGAAGATGATCATACCTTAAAATAGTCCGCAAGCCCATCGCCATTTTGAAAAAACGGTGCCTACACTCAATTGCAAAATAGAGCGCTTAAATTAGGGCCCCTATTTCCAAATTGCACAGAAATACAAGCTCACGGTGCCGTGCACGGCTTCCACCCTTATTTTCTACAAACCCTCAAGATCATGGCCCAAAATAAGAGCGTGCAAATCGGGATTTGGCCGGCGTAGGCAATTTCGGACCGATTTACTGGCCTGCACCCTTCAGCCTCGCGGGCATCACTAGTGGTTCAATTCCTTCCCTGGGATATGGAACGCCAAACGTACCAATTTATGATGGTACCGAATAAACGTTGTTTGATGATGCTGTCAATTAATCTATTATGTGATGTTGTCAATCCATTATGTGATTTCGTCAATCTGTTATGTGATATTGTCAATTATGTGATATCATCAAATTGAATCCATTATGTGGTGTAGTCAATCTATTATGTGATATCGTCAGTCCATTATGTGGTGTAGTCAATCTATTATGTGATATCGTCAATTAATCCATTATGTGATGTTGTCAATCTATTATGTGATATCGTCAGTCCATTATGTGGTGTAGTCAATCTATCAATCCAACAAACGAGGTTGTAGTATAGCAGATAGGTGATGGGATTGTTCAGTTGATGTTAAAAGCATGGAATTCGGCACAAGTCAGAGTATGTCATGGGAAAGATATTTGGCTATAGGGCCACCACAGATTGTCCTTTGTAAACATATAAGTAGAATTACAAGCAATGGCAGTCATTTTGAAAAAAAGAAAGAAACAAAAATTGCTTGTCATCCTACCTATAATATTTTTTTTTTTCAAAGAAGAAATCTGCAATGACCCTCATAGCCAAATATCTTTCTCATGACATAATCTGACTGTGTGCCAAATGCCATGCTTTATCATCATAGTGAACAATCCAGCCAAATATATCCCTTATCTGCCCTACTATTAATTACCGTACGTCCATCGTGTCTTCAGGCTTATGGTATATCCTTCTTCTTCTTCATTCATTCATTTTCATGATGACTTGATGAGTTGGGCCCAACTGTCCCTGTCGAGCATAGTGTTGGAAAGAGATGGACCACTCAGACCAGTTTCTAGCTCGATGGATGTGTTCAGGGTCATGTTGGGACGACCTTTTCGTCGAGGGGCTTCAGGATCAGTTCCAGAGGAGAACTTGACTAGCTGGCTCATTATGTCGATAAACGTGACCGGATAGCCGAAGGCGACGCTGTCTGATGGTGGTGGAGACAGGGGGAAGGGCACCATACAGAACAGAGTTAGGGAGATGTTGTTGCCAAGAAACGTTCTGAACAGCCCTCAATATCCGTGTAAAGGTGCCATCAATGGACGCAGAGATCTGTTTGGTCAGGGTCCAGGACTCGCAACTGTAGAAGAGGATGGATTCTACTGAGGTCTTGACGATCTTAAGTTTGGTGGTCTTGGAGATCGAGGATCCCCACACTTTGGTCAGTGAGAACAGAGCAGACCAATTAAGCTTGAGCTTTTCTACACTCGATGTCATGAGCTGTGTTGGTGTAGGAGCCAAGATACTTGAAGTCATCAACTTTATCGAGCTTACTGCCATCTAGTGCAGTGACGTCATCAGGGGTAGATGGGTTGATGACCATGTACTTAGTCTTCTTTACGTTAAGAGAGAGACCAACGGACTTGCAGCAAGCTTCTACTTTATGGAGGAGAGATTCGGCATCAAGGAGGGTGTCAGCAAACAGACTAATGTCATCTGCATAATCTAGGTCGGATAGGTATTGGGCAGGGTGTCTACTACTCCTACGGCGTGAGAGGGTGAGACCATCGGTTACATTTAATGCTGTCCGCAGGGCATAATTCAGAACTATGATGAATAGGTAGGGGGCGAGATGATCACCTTGAAGAACTCCAGTGTTGACGGATAACGAATCCGATTCACCTTCGGGAGTGAGAACAACAGCACTTGTATCTTCATACATAATTTTGATGGTATTAATGGTCTCCTCCGGGATACCGTAAGCGCGCAGGATCTTACACATTGTTGGTTTGTCAACAGAGTCAAATGCTAACGGAAATCGATGAAAATGATGGCAGCTTCCTTCTGGTGAATACGAATTTCCTCAATAAGGCGCCCGAGGGCAAGGATTTGAGATGAGGTTGAACGTAGAGGCCGAAAGCCACTTTAATTGGGACGGAGCATCATCTCAACTTCCGGACGAATGCGATTCAGAATAAGTCGATTGTATACCTTGGCAGCAGTTTGAGAGAGGCTGATTCCCCGGTAGTTGTCTGGGATGGTGAGGTCCCCTTTCTCTGGAACTGGGACGATGCCGGACAAGCCCCATTCTGGAGGGCGGTTACCTTCAAGGGTTGCATGGCAGAACCTTGTGAGATATTCCTTAAGTTTAGGTAGCCTCCAAACAT